AGAAAATACCGGATGGTCTCACTCATAGCAGGAATCTAGAAAACTTAAATAAGGGACCAGGAAAAAGAATAACTGTAAGAAAGAAAATATCAAAATCAACAAACAACTATGAACCAGAGACACTCTATGGGCGGTGGGGAAAGGAGGAATTGGGGTCAAAATAAAGGGGTTGTAATTGTATGGGGAATATAAAAATAAAATTTAAATTAAAAAAAACTGTTCCCTGGTACCAGGAACAAGTATCTATGTGTTGTTTCATCCTATCAGGAACATTTCTGGAGCACCTCCACTGTCCCTGCTGATCATAAGAATTAAGTCATGAATGGGCCTCCCCGGTGGTGCAGCGGTTGAGCACTGGGTTGTGAAGCTGCCCGCAGCCTCTGCAGCGCCGGTTCAATCCCCGGCTGCTCCCCGGCCACCAGAGGCGGGTCCCACATGGCGCACAGACCTCTCCTGCCGCCCGCTGCTCCCCTCAGCAGTGTACTTCGGTCCTTCTGCCTGTTCTGCTCCCGCTCTGGCTCTGGTGAATTCTCTCGCCCTCCCGCGCTTCTGACTGTACCCAGTGCATATATAAAACAAACAAACAAATAAATAAATAAATAAACATGGCTCTATAAAAAAAAAAAAAGATTTAAGTCATGAACCAGACTCACAAAAGTTTTGCTCTCATGTGAGTTAGAATCTAGTGGGGGAGATACACATGAAACCAAAGAGCATTAAATACATAAGACATATTGTTGAGATGAAAAATGGAGGGCAGGGTGTGGGGTGTTTATTAGATGGGGTAGTTAAGGATAGCCTCTCTGAGAAGGTGCCTTTATTTTTTTAAGATTTATTTATTTATTTATACAAGAACCAGGGTACAGTCCAGATGCACAGGAGGGTGAGAGGATTCACCAGAGACAGAGCAGGGAACAGAACAGGCAGACTGACAAAATACACTGCTGAGGGGAGCAGCGGGCGGCAGGAGAGGTCTGCAGGAGAGGTCTGCGCGCCATGTGGGACCCTCCTCTGGTGGCCGGGGAGCAGCAGGGGATCGAACCGGCGCTTCAGAGGCTGCGGGCAGCTTCGCTACCCAGTGCTCAACCGCTGCGCCACCGGGGAGGCCCAAAATAAAAAAAAAAATTTAAAAGACAAAAAAAAAAAAAAAAGGGAACTACAGAGGCATCCCCACTCAGAAATGCCTGACAGTGCTGGGGAAAGAGCAGTGGCAGTGGTTGGTTAAAGACTTCTTTGAAAATCTCATGGAGCTACGGATGCTCTAAACCAAATGTACCCCCTCTACACACACACACACACACACACACTCTCTCTCTCTCTCTCTCTCTCTCTCTCTCTCTCTCTCAACTCTTCAGAGGGTGGCAGTCCCTCCAATACCATCGGCTCCAGTTTGAGTCAGCTGCCTCATTTCAGGAATGGGGAAACTGATGCCCAGGACGGGGGCCACCTGTTGTCCAAGGTCAGGGAGATCTGGGTGTTTGTCCCACTGGGGGCCTCTCAGCCGCGCCCTGGAGTCCTGAGCGTCCTTGGCGCAAGCCGGCGCCTGGAGGCAGGTGGGTGCCCTTGAGCCACCGCCTGTCAAAAGCGTTAGGGTTTGGGCGAGAGAAGTTTGTCTGCGCTTGGGGAGGAGAATTTTGTCTTTTGCGGGAAAAGAATTAGGAGGCCTTTGAAGAAAATATTTCCTCCCCAGAAAATTAAAGCTTAAGACTGGTGGTGAGACGTCCTGTGGCGCCAGCCCAACCGCGCTCCGTCCAGCGCCCCATGCGCCCTACCAGGGCGCAGCAGCCCCGCCGCAGCACCCAGCACCCCAAGCCTTGGCGGCACACCCGCCTCGTGCTCTCCTTCCAGGGAATTCCAGGGATCCCCTGGGATCTCCTAGACAGGCCCAGGAGGGAGGAGAGCGCAGGAATCAATAGCAACCGATGGAAGGAAAAGAAAGTGAATAAAAGAGAAAAGAGAGAAAAGGCTCCAGCTCAAGACTGGGTGTGCCTTCATTAGCTTTTTTTTTATTATGATGTATCATTGTAGTTGATTTATTATTTATTATTTAATTTTATATGTTTTAACATCATTTTTCATTTTGTGCAATGTATGCATTTTCATCTTGGTTATAGTCCCCACACAATTCCCACCCCCCTTGTTTTGATCCTGCTCCCTCCTCCCCCCCTTGTGTGTCTCTGGTTTATAGTTGCTTGTTGATTTTAAGCAGCAGTCTCCAATCTAGATTCCTTCCCCCTTCCCCATTTTCTGGTCTGTTCTTGATTAATCCCATCTATGTTGGTTTGTTGGTTCATTTGTTCATTCATTCATTCATTCATTCAGCTAATATCAATATTATATTGAGGGCCAGGCCCATGAGCCAAGTAGGCTGATGCCTGTCCTGTGGAACTCAGAGAGAAGTCAAACAAAACACAAATACAAAATTAAAAATGAGCTGGCATATTTGGGGAGGGATCTCTGGCCTTGAGAATGAGATAAGTTTCCTTGGTCCAAGATTTTGTTTCAAAAATGTCAAACCTGCAGAAAAGTTCTAGGAATGCTACAAGGGATAACTGCTACCTTTTATCTAGAATCATCAATTGTTTGGTATTCTGTCCCTTTTTCTGTCTCTCTTCCTCTCCCCACCCCCCCACCATATTTTTGGTGGTTGTTTTTGCACCATTTGAGAGAAAGATATCATGACCTTCACTCAAATATTCAGGATACTTTATACAATCACATTGTCAGGCCACACCCAATAAGGTTAAGATTAATAGGATCCATATTCAGTGATCTGTGCTGAATTGTGTCCCTCTAAAATTCATATGTTGAAATCCCCACTATCTCAGAATGTATGTGGAGATAGGGCCAGGCTTTAAAAGAGGTAATTCAAGTGCAAGGAGGTCAATGGAGGCCTTAATCCACGATGACTGGTGTTCTTATAAGAAGAGATTAGGACACAGATGTGAGCACACAGGAAGAGTATGTGAAGACACAGCAAAGGTGGCCATCTATAAGTGAAGCAGAGAAGTCTCAGAAGAAGCTAAACCTGGCGTTGTAGCCTTTAGAACTATGAGAAAATCAATTTGTTTTAGCCACCCTGTCTGTGCCACCCTGTCTGCCATTTTATCATGGCAATTCAAGCAGAATAATATATACACGCAATAGTTAAATTTCTTAATGTTCTTTAAGCCAACATTTTTTAAATCCAGAAGCCACTCAAGGATCCCATGTTACATTTGGTTATCAATCTAATCTAGAACAGTCTAGAGTGTCTTTGTAAATCCAGATCTATTTTCCCTGCCTTTCTCTTTATTGTCTGGTTGGCCATTGATAGCCAACATTTATTTAAATGTTCAACATCATTGCTAAGGGACTGATCAAAAAGATCTACAAAGAGCTGATGAGACTCAACAAAAACAAAGTAAATAATTCAGTCAAAAAACGGGCAGAAGAGCTGAAAAGATACTTCTCCAAAGAGGAAAAGCAAATGGCCAACAGCTGTATGAAAAAATGTTCAACATTGCTTATAATCAGGGAAATGCAAATCAAAACCACAATGAGATACCACCTTACACCAGCAACAATGGCACATATTAAAAAAAAACAGGAAAAAACAAATGTTGGTGAGGATGTAGAGAAAAAAAGAACACTCCTACCCTGCTGGTGGGAGTGCAAACTGGTCCAACCACTATGGAAAGGTGAGTGGAGGTTCCTCAAACTACTAAAAAACGGAGCTTCCAGCAATTCCATTCCTAGGAATCTCCCCAAAGGACACAAAAACATTAATCAAAAGGATATTTGCATCCCTATATTTACTGCAGTTAAGATGTGGAAACAACCCAAATGCCCAAAAATAGATAACTGGATCAAGAAGATGTGGTATCCACACACAATGGTATACTATTCAGCAATTAAAAAAGATAAACTTATACCATTTGCAGCAATGTAGATGGAGCTGGAAGGTACTATGCTCAGTAAAATAAGTCAAAAGGAAAAAAGAAAGATATCAGATGGTTTCACTATAGGAGGAATATAGGGGAACCAAATGAGGAACTGAGAAAAATAATATAAAATAAATACATAAATAAATAAAACTAGTAGGCAACTATAAGTCAGAGACATTCTTCAGGGAAGGGAGGGAGAAGGATCAAAACAGGGGAGGGAAGAGCACAAGGGAGGATGGTGATGGTTCAAGGGCGAATTGGTGGTGGGAATTTTATAGGGACTACACCTGAGAGGAGAAATCAAACATTGTTCAAAAATGAACAATCATATAAAAATATATATATATTTTAAAAAGTTCTCATCACAAGAAAAAATATTTTATTCCACTTAATGTATCTCAAATATTAGCATCTTATCAAGTAATCAATGCTTGAAAATTATAGTGCCTTATTTTATGTTCTTCTCACACACTAAATTTGCTAAATCTGCTATCTATTATACATTTGCACCATATGTTCATTTGGATGCTGAATTTTCATGGAAATATTAATCTGCTTTTAGATTTCATAAAAAATTTACAGTTGTAAAAGTAAAAGGTATGATCCACATACCTAAGTTGTTCCAAATACATTTTTAAAATTTTTCCTAACTGAGCTGTCTGCTTTTAAATGAAAATTAAATAAAATGTAGGGTTTCCATCTTCAATGGCCCTAACACATTTTGTGTGCTCCATGGCCGCATGTGGCTAACAGCCACCATATGGACAGCTGGACAGTGGGAACTGGAGCACAGGGCTGTGGAAGGGGGCGGGGTCCTGGTCTGTCCTCTCTTCTGTTCACGCCCTCTAACCAGCTATCCTCTCCCCCTCCACTGGACAAACTACTAGTTGACTATGAGATGGGGAGGGGGAAGGTGCCTTGCCAATGCCATCCCATCAACACCTGCTCCCCACCTCACTCTTTCATGCCAAGAAGCCAGAGAAAAGGTTGACACATTTTGCCACGGAGACAGTCTCCAGCTCCTTTCCACTGAGCTGCTGCCAATGTTTCCACAGTCAGAGGCCACGTCTCCAGCTCAGACACAAAGACACGCGCAGGCATCTGAGCTTCCTGTCCTTACTCAGAGGAATGCCCTCCCAGCAGCCAGCCAGGCTGCAGCGCAGACACCGCGTGTCACATCTGGGAGGTGGGTTTATTAGCACAGGTCAGATGTAGGATGATGGGGGTAGGGAGGCGGTAGAGACCAGACACAAGTGACAGCAAATGAAGTAAGGTCACAGGGACACATGCCCTGCACGTTCTGGCCTCTACCATGGATTCAGGACAGTCTCTGGATTTCAGAAATACCCGTAGTGAAGGGAAGCATGGAAGGCACCCCCCAAGAGGACCCTTTCATGCTTCCTGAAGCTGTGAAGAAAAGCTCAGAGGAGCAGCAGTCACTGATAGACATCCACGAGCAGTGCACATGATTCACATGCTCCTGCTTGGGATACCAAAATCACTTTCCAAACATGGAGTATTTTCTGGGCTGAGTTTCTTCCCCCACCCCAAATTTATCTGTTGAAATCCTAAACCCAGTATGTGATCTTTTTTTTTTTTTGTGATCTTATTTAGATATACGATCACTGTAGATGTAAGTAATTAAGATAAGGTCATAGTGGACTAAGGTAGATCCCTAATCCATTGTGGCTGTTGTCCTTATAAAGAGCCGTTTGGAGACAAGCCCTCACCTGGGAAGATGCCACGTGCAGATTGGAATTACCTGCCACAAGACAAGGAACCACGAGCGGCCAGGAGGGAGAAAGACTTGGGACGGGTCTTTCCTTGGTGTCTTTACAGGGAGCAGGAGGACCCTGTGGACACCTTGACTTCAGACTTGTAGCCTCCACAATGTCAGACAAATTGCTGTTGTTTAAATCATTGTGTTTGTGGTCTTTGTGATAGCAGCCCCCGCAAACTAATACCTGAGGGGGAAGCCTCTGTCTATTCTCTCATTCCATAATTTCCAGTAATGTACCAGAGAGAAGGAGACAAGAGATGGCCCCAGCAGCTATGTGGACAGACCAGGACCCCTCTTCTGGCTGGGTGTTGATGTCCTCTTGGTTTCCATGATGTGTCTGACTCTGATGCATTACACCCCAGATTCTCATGACTACTAACTCCCCTTCCAGTCCTGCAGGCTCACTACATGCCCCTGACAGAAGTCATGCAACTGGTGGTGATGCAGCCTGATGGGGAAAGTATCATTTGGAGGGAGGAGCTAAACCCTATCCCAGAGTCCTGGCATCCCAACCCCCTCAGAGCTGCAGCCAGAGGAGTGGGCCTTCTACCAAACCTACTCAGTATGGCTCTACCCATGAGGATGTTGTTAATATCTTCCCTGCTAGGCGAGCCAGGCCCAAAGGTGGAATAGTTCTAAAGAATCTAAAGAACAGCAGGGATTTAATAGATGGTAGTTCACACAATTATTAGGCGCCTTCTCAGCCATAGGTTCTGGGTCCCTGTTTATCTGCTGTAAGTGTACGGCCATGCAAGTGACTTCCCAACTCAGGGCTTTTAGGGGGCCGATAATGGCAGTCATCAATTATCATTATTTTTACGCCAAGCACTGTGTCCCACACTTTTCATCTTGGTCTCTCTTCTTCTTAATCACATTACTCCCCAAAAGGGAGTAATGACATTTTTTCGCAAA